CGATCACTCCCACTACTATCAAGGTTTTCATTGTTATCTTTATTATTCTGTACAGTAACGCCACTAACGTGCCTAGTATTTATTTGGAGGACCCACTAGCACCCTTGACTGTAGCAATGCGAACTCAATAGTCTCAACAACTGCTGACCTTGCTATTGAAATTAATACAATCCTCCCATATCACCAACGACTTGTGTGAGGCTTTCCCTTTCCCATACTGTTGTGCTGTCATAAGCTTCATTTGAGGTTCCTGTTCACAAATAACTGAATTCTAACAAAACTATCGTCGCTATCGCATTAATGATAATGAAGGGAATAGCTGTGTAATAATAATAATAACAATAACAATAATAATATCTGTAGCAACAACAACAGTGATGATGAAGGCGATAATAATAATAACGATAATCTTTAAACCGATAAAAATAAGGATAATAATATTGATAACATTTCAAGGAATCATCACAAAACCAGAGTACATGAACAGGTGATACTAATCACGAGAATGTTTTGAAGTCGCTTATCTCATTCTTATCAGTGACTCCAAACAAGTAGTTAGTTATAAGGAGACAACTAAAACACTATCAATGTATAGCTTCATTAGAAACTAGTCCTTCGTATGCCTTACTTATGATGCGTAAGCACGAATAACAAGTACTCCTTTTCCTGTAAGAGTTGAAGAACAGGTTTTGATGACTTGCAGGCTCGCGGGATACAAAAACTCCGTCCCACGCTTACGTATTGCTAACTAATTTATGCGAAATGTCAACAGTTAACGCTTGACAGTGTACACGCTTCCAACACAACATATCAATCGTCGTCATACTATCATAAGACGAGCTCAAGAAGGTCACAATACCCTACATCAAAATATTGTGTCTTACGTTTGGCAGCGATCTGGTCTGAGTTCGACCGCAGTTGAGACTTGGAACCTCTGCGCCAACTTACCGTATTTTATTTTAGTCGATTCACAGCGAAATATAGCTACTCTAAAGACTTCAGATCAATGTTGCGATGATAAATGAATCCGTTTAAAATATCCTTCACTTTTATCACACTAAATAACAATTTTCCGCAGGGTCTACCACCACTGTCCGACCACAAGGGGTTGTCTTTCACTACTGACTCTGACTCTAATTCTTGTTTTGATCATGTGACGCGTGAGGGTGACGTCAAAGACGGGCCAGGAGCTGATTGGCTCATGCTGACGCCATACTCTTCGACCAATCAGGAGCTCCCTTACGGGGGTGTGTTATGTTTACGTCCGTGTTGCAGACTTTTAGGACTTCTTCATATCGACTTAAAACTATTAAGATCTTGTCAACGGATGTCAGTCAGCATCCCACGGGGGTCTAGAATACGCATAGTTCTCATGAATTAAAATGAACAGAAAAAAGTTACCCTTGGCAATTTCGAAAATTGGCCAAATATATAAATTTACCCAGCGCGCATCCACATTTCCAAGAATGCCATGCACTTAGTAAGAACGAACGAACACGGCTGACAAGGTTTTGTTGCCAAATCATGTATACACGATAAATCTAGCATCTCATCTTCACATATTATTTCCATACAGACTCGTTTCAGTTCGATGCTAAATTACCTAGAGCATCATTACCAACAAATCGACCCATTAAAATAAGTGAAAGTTTGGCAACGTATTAGACTAGATTGCATCAGCCTTCAGCCAGATATGTCCAGCTAAACAAAGAGGCACGTGTATCCAGCAAAACAATGACCGAATGTGAAATAATGAAAAAAAAACTAAAAATGAATCTCCATTTCACGACATTCGAAGGTACTCTAAGTCCATCTGGAAAAGTCCCACAGAGCGCGATTTGTTTCTCGACTGTAATGAAGCCCTAGAGTTGCTCCGATTCTCTCCTCGGTTTCATAATCACACGATACATGATACGAAATACAAGGCTGCGAATAAATTATCAGAATTTGTACTAAAGTCCTATGGTTATGTCTCTTATGCATCAGAGGTTAATCGGGGGGGTCTGGCCGTCTGTCTGTCTGTATGTTGTGTATTTACAGTATGAATTTATGTATGGATGGATATGTACTGTATGTATATTCTCTCTTTCTCTCTCTCTCTCTCTTTCTCCCTCCCTCCCTCCCTCCCTCCCTCCCTCCCTCCTCCCTCTCTCTCTCTCCTCTCTCTCCTCTCTCTCTCTCTCTCTCTCTCTCTCTCTCTCTCTCTCTCTCTCTCTCGCTTCTCTCCTTCTCTCGCTCTCATCCCTCTTTCTCTCTCCTCTCCTTCTCTCCCTCTCTCCCCATCTCCTTATCTCTGTCCCTCTTTGCCCTTTCTTTCCTTACTTCTGTTCTTTCTTTCCTTCTCTCTCTCTTTCCATCTTTCTCTCCCTCTTTCCATCTTTCTCACCCTCTCTTTCCTTTTCCCTCCCTCTCTTTTCCTCTCCATCCCGCTCTCACCTCTCCTTCCGCTCTTCCCTTATTTCACTCCTCCCTCCCTCTCCCTCTCTCTCTTTCTCTCTTT